AGAGAGAGAGAGAGAGAGAGAGAGAGAGAGAGAGAATGGTCACCTCAAGTGAGGTCTGGGCTAATCAGGGATACAAAAAGATGCTTTCTTAAACAAAACAAAACAAAACAAAACAAAAAACCAAAAAAAAAAAAACATAAGATGTACAAAGCAATAACAACAAAAGACAAATCAAAATGAAAACACTCCACTTTGGATGAAAGGCCGCAGAGGAGGAGGGTGGTGTACAAATGGTAGTGTCTTCTAGTCCCAGCACATCAGGAACTCCTGATAAAAGCGGACAACCAAGCATAATGACTTTGTGAAAAAAAACTAAACAATTAACTAACACACACACACACACACATACATACACACACACACACACACACACACACACACACACACACACACGAGCTTAATTAAGTAGCAATCAGTGCAAATAAGAAACATGTTGAGATTTTACTTTATACCACACTAAATATAATTAAAAAGCAGGACAATACCAACTATTGACCAGCAAGAAAGTAACAGGGCTTTTCATATACTGCTGATTGCAGATAAACTGGCACAATCACTTTGCAAAATGTTTTATCATGAGCAACAAAGCGAGTCTACTACTGGATATACAGGGTAGATAAACTCAAGTACGTGTATATGAACAGACTTACGTAAGACAGCACTATTTGTAATCTCCCAACCGGGAAACAACTCAAATGTTCATTTGTCGACTGGGCAAATCAAAGGACACATTAGTATGACAGAATGCAGAAGTGAAATGGAAAAACACCTGTGAGCAGTAACATATAAAAACTGAGGCTGGAGAGGTGTTCCAGTGGTTAAGCACACTGGCTGCTTGTGTAGAGGACCTGGGTTGAATTCCTAGCACCTACATGACATCCCACAATGGTAACTCCAGTTCCAGGGAGTCTGGTGCCCTCTTCTGGCCTCTACAGGCTCTGCATGCACTTGGTGCACATATCTACATGCAGAGAAACACATATGCATGGAACACAAAAATCTTTAAAAAAATAATTTTGAGTAAGCAAACTGGACACAAAAGAACCTCTGCTATACAGTTCTCTCATGTGTAGTGTTGAATAGAGCAAACAGATTCCTAAGTCAGGCCTGGTAGCACAGGTCTGTAGTGCCAGGTGTCGGGGTCTGAGGCTAAGACAGGATTATTGCAAGTTCAAGGTCAGCCAGGGCTACAGAGGTAGCTCAAGGATAGTTTGGACAGTTTAGTGAGACTCTTTCTCAAAAAGTTAGAAGAGGGCAGGGGAATGGACGAAGTTGCACGATAACGTACCTGCCTAGCGTGTGTGACGGTCAACCTTTAGCCCCCACATGGTCTCTTTAAGGGGTAAAATTACGTAGAGAAGAAACACAGCACAGGTTCATGAGAAAGGAGGTCTAGTCAGGCCGATGACCACGCAGCACACGCCAGGGGTAGCGGAGGCTCTGTTTTCCAGAGCAGAGGTTACATAGATATTTACAGTGACTTTTACCCTGTACAGTTCCATATCATGTATTGTCTACGTGTGTATTATATTCATTTTTTTCTAATTTTTTTTTCAAG